AGGAGCTGCTCATGCTAGGCAAGTAAGTCTTCTTGCCTCTCAGCCCAGATGCAGCCCTTCTTTCCCCTATCTATCTGCAGCCTGAAGACATTTCTCAGGAGACAGTCAACGAGGGCTGACAAGATGGCTCAGCAGGTAAAAGCGATTGCCACTTACTCCTGACGATCTGAGTTCGATCCCGCAGAGCCCACAGTGGCAGAGAGAATTATCTGTTCCAGAAGTGTCTTCTGATTTCTATATGTGGGTATAATTCATATAGTAAGAGAATCACCTTAAATGAATGAATGGTTAGCACTATTTTGAAAAAAAAAAAAAACATTTAATTCCACTAAGTCACTGGGGAAGGGCAGATCAAAGCCACAAATGAGGTGTCACCTCGCCCCAGTCAGGATGATTCTGATCGAGAAGACAAAAACAAGCCAGTCATGGTAACACACACCTGGAATTCCAGAAAGTGGGAGGCAGAAGTATGATCTGGAATTTAAGGACAGCCTCTACTATATAGTGAGCTACAAAAGAGACCCCTACATACATACACACACACACACACACACACACACACACACACCACCCCAAAACGAAGAAACAAAGAGTAGAAGTTGGTAACAACTTGAAGAAAAAGGAAGCTTTTCTATAGCCGGTGGCTACGCATATTACTTCAGTTATCCTGGAGGACAGTATGGGTGTTTTAAAAAAACAAAACAACAACAACAAAAAAAAAAAACAGAAATAAAACCACACACTACAGCAAACTCAGTGCTGGTTATATACCCAGGGGAAGGGAAGGAAGATGGCAAAAGAGACATCTGCCCACTTCCTCTCTCTGAAGCACTATTCACATCAGTGAATATGGAACCAACCTAGGAGCCCATAGTCGGACTTAAAATGTGGTGCCTAGGGGCCTGCCTGGCAAGACAACTCAGCAGTAAAGGCACCTGCAGTCAAGTCCCTTGAGCTGAGCTCAAACAGCAGGACACACAGAACGGAAAGAGAGAGTGGATTCCTGCTGAACATTTCTCTGACTTCCACACGTGTGCCATGGCATGTACCTACACACAAAATAAAGACAACAATGTGCTTTTTAAATGAGATATACACACACACACATGAAATAGTATACAGTCATTAAAAGGATGAAGTCCTGTCAATATGGATGAATTCGGAGGCCCTTATATTAAGTGAAACAGACCAGACATAGACGGACAGCCACTGCATAGTCTCGTATAGAAGCTGAGTAAGTCCATCTCACAGAGTGGTCATGAGCTGTAGATGAAAGATAAGTGTGGGGGAGAGGCACAGGGAGAGGATGGGTAATGGGACTACTAGAGTTCCATACTGGGTGGGAAGATCGTAATTGACAATGACTTACATATTTTGAAAAGCAAGCACAGTGTGTGAGAATGTGACGTTGGAGTCCAGCCAGGCCACAATGTCTGCAGCACCCGCTCTCACAGATACTGACGCTTCCCTGCCTCCTTCCTGGGGATCAGAGAGCCTGGCTGTGGGCTCGCTCCCCCATCCTCACTGAAGAGCCCCATGTCTGCTGTGTAGACTCTGATTTCCTCTCTTCGGAGAGCCCGCCATGTTGTCAGTTTCTGGTTCTAGGGCCTGGGGTTCTCCTCGAAGCCTCTGCCCTGCTATTACTCCTACCTGCCAATGATGTAAACAACGTCTCTAAATTACTTCCCAGTAGCCGGACTCAGTGTTTTCATTGAACTATCTCTTGCCCCATGAAGCCCTTCTCAGGGGACTTTGAATGTTGCTAACACAAAGAAATGATGAATGTTTGTGGAGACAGACAAACAGATGTGGCAGTGCCTCGATTTGCCTGCTGCACAGTGTATGTATGTTCTGACATTTCCCGCTGTGACTCATGAATAGATTCCGACAATTTCTCTGATGTCGCATGTCAGTTAAATATCTATGTGTATGATAGGGGCTTTGTTTAGTTTCAGTTGAGCACTCTCCCTCTCGAACACCCTAAAATGTGTGTGGTGGGCACAGGGCTGGGCAGGTGGGTGCCAGGGACGTGACCCGTGTGGATCTGTGTTTGTGCACATTTGTTTTTTTCTCTTAGGTTTATTCTCAGCTGCTCCGGTGGCCCAGCTTTCCTTCCTTAAAACTTGAATGAAGTCACTATATGTTCTGTCCAAGTCCCCAGAACTCTAAATACCAGGGAGAAGCAAGATGCTAAGAGAAGAGGGGGTGACACACTGGCTGAAAACAGGGACATGTCCAGGGGAACTGGGGAGCAGTGGGCTTTCTAGAAGTCTGGACGGCTTCACTCTCTGCTGCCAGTTGGCCTGGGTCTGTCCCCAGCAACATTCTGTCTGCTACTAACCCAAGTGACCATGGGAATCCAGACTGCTGGGATATGTCACCAGTGGGTGAATTCTTTCAGAATAAATGCTGATCCATGAAGTAGAAAAGCCACACTTTCCTTGAAAGTCGAGGATGCTCACAAGGAGGGCTCCCGAGGGTGGACTGGGCATCATGAACTGTGCAGCCTCCTTAGTGCTGACCCAAAGACTTCATTCAACAAACCAGCTTCCAGCCTGGGCTGGTGAGAGACTCAAGCCCTGCCCCACGGTGTGGTTCTCACCATACTTGGAGGACTTTCTTGTGGTCACATGGTCGCCTGTCTAGAGTTGAAGTTCCCAGGCAGGGTCTGGCCTCCACACCCCACTCTCATGCCCAAAAAAGCTGGTTAAAAGGAAGATGTGTTTAGGTAGGGGACTGTCGGGGAGGGAGGATGCCAGCCAGCTGAAGTAGTTTAAATGGAAGAGTCTTCTGAAGTGACTCCAGAGGTTTTAGTCCAAGGTCACTAGGCTGGGGTGTGGAGGCCAGCTTCTCTGTCACTTTGACCAGATTTGGGGTTGCCTAGGAGATGTATCTCTGAGGTTAATCTGTGTAGGTTTCCAGACGCTTTAAATGATGCTGGAAGATTGATACTGACTATGGGTGGTATTGTCCCATGGGCTGGGATCTCAGATCAATTTTAAAATAGAGGCATGGCAGGGAAATGAGCTGAACACCCTCATTCACCTTTCTCTGCTTTCTGTCTCGGGTGCACATGCCTCACACTCTGACTGCACACCTCCTACCTGCAGGATATGCCTGCTATGACAGACTGTATCCTCCGACCCTGAGCCAACATGAGCCCTTCTTTCCTGTGCTTTCTTCTTTGCTTTTATCAGGTATATTGTGCAAACAATGAGAAAAATCACCATTTCAGGAGAAGCCTGAGCTGAAGCAAGCTGTTCACTTGGCCCAGAAGCAAAGAGAGAGGGGGGAAAAGGTCAACATCCCATAATTCCCTGCTTCCCACTGGGCTCCATCTCCTGCCACCCCCTTGTATTCCACTGGCGGGGGACCAAGCCTTTAACACATGGCCCTCCGGGGGTCTCTTATGGAAATCACAGGGGCCTGTGAGCCGAAGAGTCACAGCGGAACAGTCTCCAGATCTGGTAAGAAATAAAAATAATGTGTGGCTCTTTTGCCAACTGGACAAGGCCTAAGGAAATCAGTATTTGTATGCAGGTCAGCACAGAGGGACCTCAGAGAGCATACGCTGCTGACTGGGCTGCCTCTGACAGGTCAGCCTGCCTGAAAAACCAGTTTGTTGTGCTGGAGTCACCATATGGCTTAAGTTTACTGGGACTGCATGCTTAGCTCACACAACATCCTGGGTTCCATCCCCAGCTTACAACTATGAGGCAAGTTCTAGAACTGGGTTGTGGTGGTGTTTGAAAACCTCAGAAAGGCTATGTGGAAACTTTCATATTCTGTGTTTCAGGAAACAAGTTGAGTGTGGCAGTGATGCCCCCGTCCCCAGCACTTGTGGGCTGAGGCAGGAGGTTTGCCATGAGTTCAAGGCCAGTTTGGCCTACAGAGTTCCAAGCCAGCCTGCATTAAGAAAAGGAAGAGGGACTGGGGAGATGGCTCAGTGGTTAAGAGCACTGGCTGCTCTTCCAGAGGTCCTGAGTTCAATTCCCAGCAATCACTTGGTGGCTCAGAATCATTTGTAACGGGATTTGGTGCCCTCTTCTGGCATGCAGGTGTAAATGCAGATAGAGCACTCATACATGAAGGGAGGAAGGAGGAAGGGAGGAAGGGAAAGAGAACAAAGCCATGACTTGTCACATGGCCATTCCATTTCTGGGAATCTGAAAATAACCCAAGATGAAGCCCAAACCCAACACAGCGCTCTTTATAGTAACAGCAGAATCAGGGTCCAAAAACTCACCAGGGAAGATCCATAACAGCCAATAACATGTACCTACTAAGTCATTTTATATTTTTATTTCTGTTGTGTGAGGGTATCATGTGTGTGCCTCAGCACAGGGGTGTGTGTGTGTGTGTGTGTGTGTGTGTGTGTGTGTAGGTCAGGGGACAACTTGCTAGAGTCAAGCGTCTCCTTCTACCATATGGGTCTCAGGAATCAAATCAAGTCATGTGACTTTACTCACTGAGCCATCTCCTAGACTCTTATGAGGTGATTTTTTTTAAAACGCAGGCATGGTTCAGTGGGGGGAAAAAAAAAAGCTCATATCACCAAACCTGACAACCAGAGTGACCCTCGGGACCCACATTTGCTGGAAGGACAGGACCAGTTCCCTCAAGTTGTCCTCTGACCACACACACACACACACACACACACAATAAATGCGATGATTTTTAATTAAAGGAAAAATCACGAGGGAATGGTCCATAATGTGCTAACACACACCCGGTTTTATCTCTGCTTTGTAGCTGAGACACAGGGGTGTGCTTACTGACAGAGAGGCTAATTTAGACGGGAAGCATCTTTGCAATAATGCTAGGCATCTCAAACTGTGCCTGGTCCTCTGTGGATGAATCAGGCTTGCCTTCTCCATGGTCTCTCTCGCAATGGTAAGAGCACAAAGCTGACCGAGGTAGTCTGGACCACAGGGTCTCATTTGCAAAGGTCGACTCTTAAGACAACGCTAAGGCAGAATAAGCAAAGGTTTCTCAGCAGGTGGTGTTTATAAAGTTTTTATTTTCCATTTTCTTAAAAATAACATTTGCTTTCCTTTATGCGTGTGTAGAGTGAACTTGTTTCCTTAGGCTGAGTAATAGGCAGATAAAGACCACAGCAAGGTGAGGGGCTCCGGGTGGAGGCAGGTGGGGATGGGCGGGGCAGGAGGGGCGTGGCGCAGAGGAAAGTGCGGGGCAGAAGGAGGCGGGGCACAGAGGAAAGGGAGAGAATGGGGTCACCCATGGGATGCTTGAGTGCCCACCAACGCACACACGGGCCTAACACTTGTTCAGTTTTTTTTTTTTAAGACATCTAAAATTACTGAGAGATACAACGTCAGCACTGAAATCTACAGACGGAACCCAAGCACTTGACCACAACGGTAACTCTAAGCTCAGTGATTACACATTGGACAGTTTGAGTGGGACACGGGCTGAGAAGCGGGTTGCTGTCTGACTTGGAACGGATGTCTTGAATCTCCTTTCACACACCCCAGGTCCTTCCCTGGGACAACTGCAGGCGGGAGGGCTCGTGATGACCCAGGTGTCAAAGATGGGCCCCTGGTTCTTTCCAAGGGTTGTGGTCTCAGGCTTTGGGGTGCCCATATCAAAAGACCCCACCTACCCACTTAGTAGTGAAGCCGAAAGCAGATAAAAGCTCAAGAATGGCCAAGTGGGTACCAACTGAAACCAGGGGAGGGGGCTGGAGTAAGGACGGACCTGTGCCCACCCATCACATGTGGTCACGACTCCTGTAGAGCACTGGGGATGGGGGGAGTCAAGATGTCCCATGACTCTCTCACCAACTTTGCCTCCTGTCTGGGCTCTCAGGCTAAGCCCCATCCCTGCTCTTCCCGGGACCTCGGAGCGGTCTCCCTAGGCACATTTACTCCCTCCAACCTCAAACTGCTCCAGCCTACACCATGCCTCCCAGCACTCAAGGGCTAAAGAGGCTCTTAGTAGGGCAGCTCCAGGGCCCGGCAAGATGTGGTGCTGCTGTAATTTGGTTGTACCCTTTCCAACACAGCCCTAACTCTCCTGCCCACAGCAAGGGAACGGGAGCTGGCAGGAGCGTGGAGGAACTGAACTGGACAGCCAGTTTATTGAAGGATGAGGCTGCAGGACTGACAATAATCTGACCTGTGACCTCGCTCCTGGGGAAACCTGAAGCTTACTTAACCAGGAGCTACTTGGGGACGTTCTGCCCCACCAGGAACAGCTGCTCTGCCTACCTTTGTGGGACTCTGTCTCAGTGGGGGTGAAGGGCAGTATGGGGTGGGGGTGCTTGAGAGAGGGACAAACTTCTGGACCCCTGAGGCCTGACCAACACCTTCTGCTTTCTTCCTAAAACATATTTACAAAGTCAGATACAAAAATCAGAAGATCCAGGGACACACAGAGCACAGCTCCCCAGCGGGGCGGGGTGAAAGAAGGAATTGCTTCTTCCTCTACACCACCCCCTCCACACCCCAGAGAGAGCCTAAAATCTTTCACAGCTACCCTGGGATGTTCTGGAAATCCAGCTAGGGTAGAGGAAGAATTAGACTCCATCCTAGCGAGAGCAGGAAGTTTCAAGTAACTCCAGCTGGAGGAGGGGGAGGGGAGGGGAGGAGGAAGGGGAGGAGGAGGAACGGGTGTTTCTAGAATGCAGAGGGCTGATGTGACTGAGCCAGGGACCAGAGGATGATTGCAGAGGCCTGAGGAAGGGAGGGAGGGAGGGAGGGAGGAGGAAGAGGATGGGATTAGGTGACAGTCACCCGGAGAGTCAGAACTGTGTCGTGGGATGAGAAGCACTTTATGGAGCTTAGTGGTGTGTCCATATTTCCCCCAGGGGATGACAAGGAAGGTGGCCATTCCAGGGTGGCAGAAGGAATGGGAAGGAGGAGGCTCTTCCCTAAAGTCCAACCGATACTCAGTGGATGTAACCAGCCAGTGCCCAAGAGGCTGGGGGAAAGCCAGACTGGGGCTTTGTCCTGCAAGCCTCAGCACAAGGACCCCAGTAGCTGCCCAGCCTTACACCACACAGGGGGCTGCTCTCACTCTCCCTAGCCATCAGGGTGGCCCTCAAGTGTCCCCTCTCTCTCTCTCTCTCTCTCTCTCTCTCTCTCTCTCTCTCTCTCACACACACACACACACACATACACACACACATACACACATACACACACAGAGGTAAGCATGCATGCACACATGCATGCACACACGCACCAAAGGATATCAGGTAAGAAATTCTTCATCAAATATATTAAGGAATTTCCTTTGAGAGGGGGAAGTGGGGAGCAATAAACACACAAAATCCCATAGGGCATCTGGGTAAAAGCCCCTCCCACTGGGCTTGGATACCAGGGCATGGCCTCAGGGCCTAGCTGCCCAGTGTGGTCCCCTCTGATACATTGTTCTCTATTCAGATATGCTGTAGGGTTTTAAATTAAGTCTGGGGCACAGTTCTGCTGGGGCCATCTTGGGGACCCTTTAGACAGAGGAAAGCCATGGTTATGAGGACTAAGGTTTGGGGCCTCTCCTCCAGGACAATCTCTGGGCACAGGAAGTCACAGCTTCCCATGCTTCCTCACAAGGATCTCAGGGACATGGCTTTCTACTGGTCTAGTCAAAAGGGGACCATTTCCTAGAGGGTCAAGGAGGCGGTGGGTAGACATGTACTGCTTTCTGGTCCTCTGCTCCTCAGGACAAGGGAGGCCCTCACCAGGGAACAGAGGTCGCAGCTGCAAGCCCTCATAGCAGGCTGCACCAAAGCTCAGATGGATGATGACAGTACCCATTTGCCAAGAAAGCAGCCTAGAGCCCCATGAGGCAACAGGTGCTGACTGGGTCAATCTGAGATCTGGTATCAAAGGACCTATCCTCCTCTGCCTCACGGTCTCTGCCTGTTCTGCTGGGCTCTCTCTGGAGATAATCTATCAGGTGTGTCCCATCTTTTGACATTGTAACAGAGCATTGTCATCTACAACGTCCACACTCAAGAACTCTTCAATCCAGTTATCAAAAGAACAAAAAACAGTAACAAAAAAAACCTCCTATGTTTCAAATAAGTTCACTGTTTTGTGTTGGGCCACATAGACAGCTATCCTTAACGAAGCAGCCCAGGGCCACAGTGGGACACACTTGCGACTGGGCCTTGGGATGTCAGCAGAAGGGTAAGCCTTGTTGTGTGTGCCTTGGGATGTCAGCAGAAGGGTAAGCCTTGTTGTGTGTCCAGTCCTGCCTTCATCAGCACAAGACCATGGTGGGGCTTTCATATCAGATCAGCCCGATCTGAGGACGATGCTCAGCTTTCAGCTTCCTGCCCTTCCTCTCTCTGGCCTCAGAAGAGGAAGGAAGAAAGGCAGGAGGGGGTTGGGTTGATTGGGCAGGGAAGGAATTGCAGGTATTGGGTGAGGGACAGGATGAGGGGCATCTCGTCTCATTGATTTTGGTCTCTTAGTGCGTCTATGTGTGTGAAAGTGTGCATTTGAAAATCAATAACCTTTGGGTGACTCGCATGACACACACATGCACACACGCTCGCACACGCACACGCACACGCACGAGCACCCCAGTCACGCAAGCAAGCCACGCTCTCCAGTCCTCCCCACTGGAGCCAGGGTCCTTCGCACTGACTTCCGGATCCATTTGCTAAGTTGCCTGCTGTTGTCCAGGTCTCTTCTGGCCCGTCTTTCTGGCCGTCGGCACCCTGGCCTGCCGAGGCCGTCAAGGGCCATCTACCAGATGTAGCCGCCGTCATCTGCCTCACCCGCCTCACCCTCCTCCTCCTCAGCCTCCTCGCCGGCCTCTTCTGTCTCCTTCTCCTCCTCATCCTCCCAGCCGACACCGCTTCCAAAGTCCCCGGAGAAACCCACGATGTCATCTGTTGGGAAAACAAGCGAATGGCCGGTAAGGAACCTCCACCCTGCGTCTGCTCTCTCAGCCTGGGGTCCTGCCCCACGGACACGGCCCTGAGAACTAGGCGTGTGCTCCTTACCACAGTCAGGGTTCCCACGCATGCGTGTGCCGGTCAGCTCCAGCCCCAGCTGGTCCACGCACCAGCAGTCACCGCTGCTCTGGTCACACTGCATCTTCCGGTAGTAACCATCCTCATCACAGCTCGGGATGAAGACACCTGAGGGTTAGGGCGGGAGTCCGGAGAGTGGGCTCTGGAGTCGTGTGTGAGCAGGGGCCTAGACGGCCTGAGAGCCTGGTACTGACACCCACCCCCTAAGAAACCAGACACGCATGGCTCCTGACTGGAAGCACAGAGCCCCCTTCCCCGGTGTCCCTGTGTCAGTCACATGCTCAGGCTTCTTCGAGGATGCTATCAGGTGCTGCTGTTTCCTGTGTCTCATGGCCTTCCTTTTGTGGGACAGTCTGGCCTCACGTGTTAGTAAGTTTGATCTCACTCTTGGTTTTTCTCCAGCTAGGAGTGCGGAGTTTCTCTTCCTTCATTGGGGCTCACTCATTTCTCTCAGGTCCCCAGATTGTCCACGAGGCATCTTCTGAGATGTTTTAGTCAGGGAGGTTGGGGGGTGTCGGGAAGGGATAAGAACCACAGAGACAACCAGGGTGGCTAGAGTGGGGATCCTAAGGCCTGGGGGCCTGCTTGGAGGAGTGGATGATAGAATAGCTTCCTCACCGAGCCTGGAGGTCAGTAGGCCTACTCAGCACAGCCCTATGGGGGGGGGGGGGTTGGGGACTGGGTGCTCATTCAGTGTGCTGGTCTTGTGAGCTCAGTCATATGACTCTCAAGGAGCCACAAGGCCCACCTCTCGGGATCGCTATACCCTCAACATCACCCTCCAGCTGCCTGGGCCCCTTCCTACTATGTTGTTGTTGTTGTTGTTGTTGTTGTTGTTGTTGTTGTTGAGACCTCAAGGTTTTACCTGATGCCATCGGTGTATGTCCCTGGCTAGTCCCCCAGAAAGATCTCCACTGGCCTATCAGGAGGCTTATGCCCACCTGCATTCTCCCCGAGCACCTACACAACAGTCAGAGTTGGGAATCCTCTTCCCGATTCTGCATGCTCAGTGCTCCCATGGCTGGGCCGTCTAAAGGCTTACACGGCCATGAACCTCGTCTGCCTTGCCCATCGGTTCTCATCTAGGCTGGGCTGGGTCTCTCCTCTCTCCAGGGTCTTCACTTAGAATGTGAATGAGCATCTCCCGTGGAGGGGGGTGAGCATCTCCCGTGCAGGGGGTCCCATTCCAGCCTCAGACACACACCTGTTGCAGTGAATTTAAGTAGCGGACTCTCCAGCCCTGGTCTGGCTAGCCCAAAGTGTTTAAGCATACTCCCTGAGGGGCAGCTGAGGAGACTCTTGCCTACCAAGCCAATGAAACCAGGAGAGGTGTTTTCCTGTGCCGTCCTAGGCCAGGGCCTCTTCTTGGTTCACCATGTGCCATAAAGCCAGGCAGTTGAAACCTCTGGGCCTCAAGGAAGCTTAGGGAGGCATCCCTGGCCCCTCCTCTGCAGTCCCTCCCTACCTGGCTTCTTCTTGGCTGCCTCCTGGATCTGTGTGCGCTCCAGTTCTGCCAGACAGGGGGGCTCTGTAGAGAGAAGCAACCTTAGGGTCGGCCCATGGTGCTGAAAACATACTGAACCCCCCAAACTTAGAACATTTTGTGGGGGCTCTGCAAAATAAAAACACCTGGTCTCTCACATCAGGCCACACCAGGATGGTGGTGGCATGCACTGATCCTACTAAGATCCTCAAACCAATGTAAGGCTCTGTTGGATGGAAACACCCAGCGTTCAGTTAAGGGAGATCATCACCGCTTAAGACAGGCTAAGGATCCCAAGAATCCCAGGGTTCTCTGGGGTGATGGCTCTCATAGGATAAGCTAAAAAGTTCAAAAGAGAGCTGGCTATGGTGGTGCCTACCTTTAACCACTGCATTCTGGAGGCAGAAGCAGGTGGATAGCTGTGAGTTGTTTTTTTTTTAAGATTTTTTTTTTAAGATTTATTTTATTTATTATATATGAATACACTGTAGCTGTCTTCAGACACACCAGAAGAGGGCATCAGATCTCAGTACAGATGGTTGTGAGCCACCACGTGGTTGCTGGGATTTGAACTCAGGACCTCTGGAAGTACAGTCAGTGCTCTTAACCACTGAGCCATCTCTCCAGCCCAATAGCTGTGAGTTTAAGGCTACCCTGGTCAACATAAAAAGTTCCAGGAAATCCCCAGTCAGATAGTGAGTCTTTGTCTCAAAAACCAAACCAAACAAACAACCCACACAACAACAACAAAAATTCAGAAGAGGCAGAAGGGACAGGCAGGCACCACAGGCTGAGAAACCGTAGGAGAAAAGAAGACTAGAAGATGTTAGACTTAACCCCCGGGGGCCTGAACATAACTGGTAGCCTGTCTCTACTGTCTGGGACCTTGGGGAGACCATGGCCTTCCAAACCAGAGGTCTGCCTGATAGTAAAACAGGACATCTCAAGCCTTCTGCATTTGCGGAAGTGAGATGGACAGCAGCACCCTGTGGAGCGGACATGCTGAGGCAGCACAGGCGGCAGCAGGCTGGTCAGCACACTGAGGACAGAAAGGCTCTTGGGCCTCAGCATCACTAAGGGAGGCGTGACTCCCATGGTGCCGTGCATCCTGAGTTCCTCAGTTTGTGCTCACGCAGCCTCTGAGATAGATACTGTTATCTCCCAGAAATTGAACTCACAAAGATGTGGTCACTTATTTGGAACCCCAAATCAACATATGGTGGAGCCCTAGCCAAGCCTTGCCTTAGGCTGCAGATGCTTCTCACTTTGACCATTCAGTGGTCAGCAGAGGCACTGGGTTCACCCCAGCAGCTGGCCAGGCAGCTCACTAGGACCTCAGTTTCTCCATCATTTGCTCCTTGGCCGAGGTGTTTCTAAACACAGACCCAGCTCTGGATCTGAGCACACACGGCTAACAGATGCCAAGCAGCAGGTGTGGTGGTACACCCTATAATCCCAGCACTCAGGAGACAAAGAAGACCACAGGTCCAAGGACAGTCTGGGATATGGAGTGAGTTCTAAGCCACCTTGGTCTATATGCTACCCTGTCTCCAAAAGATGAAAGAGACACAGTAAAAGTAAAAACTGGGACAGAAGCTAGAGAGATGGCTCAGCGGTTAAAAGCATTGACTACTCTTCCAGAGGTTCTGAGTTCAATTCTCAGCAACCACATGGTGGCTCACAACCATCTGCAATGGGATTCAATGACTTTCTCTGGTATGTTTGAAAACAGTGACAGTATGTATGTATGACTCACATACACGAAATAAATAAATCTTTTTTTTGTTTAAATCTGGGTGTGGCTGGTGCATGCCTATAACCCCAGCATTGGGGAATCACACGAAAGCCACATGGTGAGGTCCAGGATATCCTGGAATGTATGAAATCCTGTCTCAAAAAAAAGAAAGTCTTCATGTGTGGGCTAATGATAACTTACATAATCAACTGTTTGGGGTAAAGAAGATGTGACCATCAGAAGGGAGCCATGAAAAACTAATGTGTCCTCAGCTCCAAGGCCCTCTCCTGCACCACCCCCTCTCAGATTCTCCAAGGGCCCCCCAAAACATGACATACATAGTTGTATGTATGTGTATTATCACGTGTGTCTATGTATGTGTGTGTGTGTGTGTGTGTGTGTGTATTTGCAAGGGCAGGTTTGTACATAGCATGTTGTACATGTGAAGGTCAGAGGACAACTCTGGGGAGAGCATTCCCTCCCTCCACCTTTCTATAAGCTATAAGTTCTGAGGCTGAAACTAGGTTCATCAGGGCAGATGCTTTATCCACAGAGCCAGCTCGCGATCCCTCATGTTGATTTCTATTTAATTTATTTAAAGGTATCTAAAAGCACACAAGCCTTGGGACCCACAAAATCCAGTCCACCTGGGAGTCTGCCCTGGGTTCTAATCAGTGAGAGCACCCCTGATAGATACAGCAAAGAGATGGGCTGAGAAGGCTCTGAGCCTAAGGGTGTGAGCAAGAGGCAACCACTGTGACTCCCAGAAAGAGGCTATGGTTGGGGCTCGGCCCTCAGGAAGGAAGCCAGTGCCAGAGAGCCACGGGCAGTACTCACTCTCCCTCCAGAAACAGAAGCACCACTCAGCAGTAGAGACGCGGCCATCTTTGTAGGTATCACAGGAGTTGAAGAAGGGGCGGATGCAGACCTCGTATTTGTCCAGGTTGATGGCAGCCAGTTCTGTCTGGTCCAGGAAGAGGTCTCCACTGGTGTCCAGCTTAGAGAACATCCAACCGATGGAGTCCTTGCAACTGGCCCCCAGGCTCTTGTCCAACCCTGGAAAGGAGACTGGAATTCAGATGGGCTCTGCTGTCCATGCGTCTGTCCATCCATCTGTCCATCCGTCTCTCTATGTATTTCTCAGCCCCAGCCCTCTGTTCAGAGTCAGGTTAGCCTGAAACTACCACGGGGTATGGAAAACAAAGACCCAAAGGCCTTTGCCTCTACCCTTACATAGAACTGTACCTGACCCACTTGAAGCCTATTTTACAAGCCTTTCTGAAGATGTTTCTTGGCTACTGAGGATAAGAACCAGGGCTGTAAGTATGCTTGGCAGTGTTCTCCCTGGCTATATCCTTGGGCCTAGAAAACAGCATTTCTTCCCGTTTCCTTGGCTACCCCCTGGAGGGACTAAGCTCTGGCACCCATGGCTAAAGCCATCCGACCACTCTACTTCAAGGTACAGCTCTTTGGGGGTTCACATCGTAGGCTTGGAATCTGACAAGGAAGGGGACAGAAGCAGGCTGGCCCCGTGACACCTGTCTGCTGGGCCCCTTCCTGTCTTCCCTACCTCACCCCACCCCACCCCAGGCACAGTATTGGTCCCCATGCCACCTGCAGGGCTAGCTGCACTGCTGGCTGAGCCGTTTTGCTTGGAGTTCTCACGAAGGAGCTGGAACCAGTCACGGAGCCTATCCCCCAGGTCGGCCAGGTCCTGTCCTGTGCAGGTCTCTGCGATGCAGAACAGAACAGAAAACAGAACAGAACAGAACAGAACAGAACAGAACAGAACAGAACAGAA